AAGAAATCGGTCGAGTTGATGAGGTTGGGGGACTCTCTCAAGTCTTATCCTCGTAGAAAAGGCTCAGTGAAGTAGTGTTTTTGAGAATTATCTCAAAAATGAAGAGTGTTGGGAGACGAAAGACCATTGATGACGTATCTAGGGATCATGATATAATGAAAATCGAAGAAATCAGTGCTGTGATTGGGGCTGGGGAACTCTGTCAAGATTTTTCCCCTCAGAGAATGAACAGTGAAGAAGAGATTTTCGATTTCTTTCGAAAATGGAGGTGGTCAGGTGATCACTAATGACGTATGAAGGTGTCATGAGCTTCCATATGAAATGAAAATTTGCGAAATCGATCCAGTAATTGGGGCTAGGAGGACTTTTTTTAAAGTTTTGCCAATTACTTTAAATATATAGTTAATTTGATTGCTTTTTCCTTACTAAGATAGACTTTGATCTAAGTTGATATAAGTTTCTTTGATCTTCAGACATTGATCTAAGCCTGAAGTATGAGCCACGTATCAAAATGTGCTCGTGTAGCTTCAAAAGTCAACTCTTATTGAAAATATCAAGTCATAAATTGACTGTAATTATTTCAGCGTTGAAAAATCTTGTTACGAAAATCGTCCGGTGTGCGTACGGTGAAAACAGACAAGCAAGCAGGATAATGGATAACAACGCTTTGTTCACGAATATTCCGGACAACCAGGGCCGGCCGGAGGGGGGCTGCGAACGATGCGACCGCACTGGGCCCCGCATTTTCTGAAGGCCCCGCGCCGCTGACTGATTTTTCAAAAAGAAAATGCTTTCTTTTTTGAAAATCCAAATATACATACATTTAAATTTAATTATACAATTTGTGCACATTTTACATTAATAAATCTAAGGCAAGGTTGTGTTCTTTAAGTTTAAAATCATGAAAGATTATAACATCTTACAAGCTGCACGCAAACTGTTACAAATTAAGAACACTTTCAAACTGAGAAACACTATTGATAAAGAATATGAAAAAATAGTTAAAAACGAAACACAACGTTTACAATGTGTTTGTATATGAATAGTGGCTATAATTTTATATTTAAAAAATGACTATTATTTTATATTCAATTAGAAAGGAAACAATAAATTTAGTTAAGAAAGCTAAGCATTTCACAATTTTACTAGATTGCACTGCAGGCTTGAGCCATCAAGAACAGTTGTTTGTTATTTTAAGATATGTTAATGTAGATGACTCTGAAAGTGATGTGAATATAGAAGCAGGGCCGGTTTAAGCCCTATAAGGTCCTATAGAGCAAGTTCCGGTTTCCTCCCTCCTCAGTTTCAAAGCCAAATATTTTTTTATTGTTTTTCATACAAGCGTTTATTAAGTAACAACTATTAAGACAGACTGAAATTAAAAAAATATTTAATTTGCCAATCATCTTAATGAGAGTGGTTTCAATATCTCAGGAATAATAAAAATTCAAAATTCGAAGTTAAAAGTATTTTTTTAATGAATGGTGCAAAAATTACAATTTTCTTTACACAGTCTAAAAAATCTAATATAAAATTTGTAGGGATATTTTGCAGCCAGAAAAAAGGTAAAACAAATTGGAATACACTGATATGCTTAAGCAATTGAAAACATGAAAAAAAAAGTCCTAAGAATAATGTTCTGAAATTTAAGCGACACCCGATTTCAATTTGAATTAGTACGAGTATACTGCTCTGGTAAATTAAATGAAAGTACTAAATTAAATCACCTTCAAAATAATGCATAATAAAGATAATTAGGCATTAGGAGCCCCAAAGTTATTGAACCCCTAGGCAATTGTCTATTTGATAATCTGGCCCTGATTACAAGAACGATTTGTGTTGAAACGGCAAAAGACTTGACAGGAAAATATTACCGACCAAAAGTACTGTGAAATTTCGATTTGAAAAATATCGTCATTCTGCTTTTAACAACTGGGCAAAGAAAATAGTTGAATGGTTAATTGAAGGCGACACCTGAATTTAAGAATCAACGAACTGGATGGGGAAAAGCAATTTGTCTTTGAGGCAACCGATCAGTCTATTTCATCTGCCAATCATCCATTTTCTAGTCATAATCAATAGTGCCACTTTTTCTTTTTAGAAAAGATTCGAAATTTACCGCCAGCAAAAGACGTCATATGGATTTTTATATAATTAGGATAATATTCACAAACTCTCTGAAGATGCTTTACACATTTTGGGTAAGCAGGGTCGCGTGGGCAATGAAAAAAAAGTGTCTGAAGACGATCTTCTTAGATTTTGCAAAGACTTAAATGCAACTTTATAAGGCGATATTGATTTATTCCAAGGAATCAAGATTTGTGGTCGACTTTTGCCATTCAGGGACACGGTATTGAAAAAATTATTTAAAAATAATTCATTTAAATATTATCCCAATTTTGGGACTGTTCCGAAAAATATATTAACCTTACTAATGACAAAGGTATCTGCAAAAATGTCTTTCTCTTAATTGAAAAAAAGAAAAAAAATTGCTTGAGAACTGGCATTTGTTCATTACGATTCGTTTTCTTTGCCATGATACCTGAATCCAAATTAGCTATAAAATTAAATTATGATTATGTTATCAGTGAATTTGCTATCATGAATGTATAAAATGAAACAAAAATAACATATTCTTACCTTATTCTATCAAGTCGCAGTCCAAATTGTATTTTATGAGTTTATGAAGCCATTATTTTTGTTATTTGATTTGTGAAAGATTTTGAATGTGATTGAATTGTTAACTTTATAAAAATATTTTAGTTATGTATCATTTTCATGTATTCCATAAGTCCTTAATATACCAATTTGTGCAATGTAATAAATAACAAAAGCAATTAATTATTTTATTGCACGAAATTTGTTTCAAGGCCCTGCAAATCAACTTTGCACCAGGCCCCGCTTTTTTTCAGGCCGGCCCTGCGGGCAACACGAAGCACGGGAAACAAGGGCGACAGAACGTGCACAAATTAGCAACACAAACAGTCAACAAATCCCTAATAATGGCAGTAACAGTACTTTCAGTACCGCTCGACGTCTATCAGCTTAACAGCTCGCATTGTGTACAAAACTCCAAAGAGATTCAAATGCACTCCGAAGACATTCGCACTCATCTCAACACCTATGGGTTTTTATACCTTTTACGACAGGATGTGTCGTCACATAGAATCATCCAGTAGATTCTCTACATCTCTGTCCCTAATAGAGATAGGACGAAAATTCTAGTAATTTCGAGGTTTTTCATTTTCTCACCAAAATGATCACCAATTTTTCGTCAAGGTCGTGGTTCAATGGTTTCCATTTTCCCGGAATCCAAAAAACCTCTGTAACTGTCTCTTTTCAAACATAAGACTAATATTGTTGGGAAGAAACATTACAGGTTCGTTACAATATTCATAACTTGCCGAACCATGTGACAGTTACTAAGCAAGCAAGGAGAAATTGACAAAACTATCGATTTCGTGACATTTTCTGACTCACCCCAAGATTTTACATTACATTAAGGATATCCGATAGAACAAAACACTCAATAACTTTATCGGCGTAGGATTTTTCTCAGGAATATTTACGACCTTGCCCTTTTCACTGCTTCTGCTTGGGCAGATATGTTAAGTAGTAGGCTTAGAAACTTGAAGCAGACTGCGAAGTAAGAAGTGACTGACTTTTTATGGATCATAGGCTAATGGTTATTGTCTACATCACCGATCTTATAAAGTCCTCTTTTTTCTTAGAGATGCCATCCTCACCATTTATCTAGTAATGCCATATATATCTTTTGTACTATTCTTTTATGATTTTTGAAACATCTTTTTCATTAAAAATGAAATTTTTTATTGTTATCTATTTATAAAGGATATGTAATTAAAAACTAGTATTGCATGAAAGACCTTATTGATGCATTTATTTTAAATATTTGAATTTTTTTTTAATATTATGTAACTGGTTTTAAATACTTTCGAAATGCCGCTTACATAAATTCTATGATTCCCTACCCCTCTTTCTCCCAACGCTTCCATATATTTTCCCGTCTAAATTGCTAAAGCAAAAGAGAGAAAATACGCCACTACTGGTTTCTCCGACAAACCGATTCTGAATTGTTTCTGCTAATGGTTTATAGAAGGGGACTATTCAACTTTATATTCTCTCTCTCGACGGGAGACTTAGGAAAGGAAACATCTCGGCCGTGTGCCTGTAAGTTTGGTTTTACATTTGTCTTAACCTCTTGCCTTTCTTTTCTTTAAAGATTAGAGACGCGAAAGCATTTTTTAAGAGCAAATAGTTGCTTCTGTTGTTTTTCGTTCGAGAGTTTCTGACTCCATGTACTCTTAGATGGGGTAAATAAAATTTCTAGAAAGTGCCCCATGATGAAAATGTGTTGACTGTTAAACAACTCCCCCCAAAATTGAAAGATATTTTAACCTTTCGTCCGAAACTATGTAAAAATTATTATTTATTAAATTTACTCTTAATTATATAGCAGCCAAATACTAACAAAAAAATTTAATTATTATTGTTGCAACACTCGTGTGTTTAAATGCAGTAACTAAAACAATAAAAAATATTACTGAAAAAAATATTTAAAAATAGGCAAAAGGTTGTGCAGAAATTAAATTTGTATCACTGAAAAGCTAATCTTTTTTATTTTAATGTGGTGCAAAAACGGATCTTATGCAATAATTTGCTCCGAAGTTATTGACACAAACTTTAGCATTTCGAAGCAGTTATTTCCCAACTTTAGTATTATAAAGTCGATGATACAACCTCGCAGATAATATCAGCGTTACATTGAGGAGGCACGCGATATGCAGGCGATGGAGGGGCAGAGGCAGAAAGCAAAATTCTTGCAATCACTGAAATCGTTTTCTTAACAAGGTCCTTCATTAGAAAAGAATGTACTTTTTCCACCATCTCTAAGAAATTGCAAAACCAGAACTTATTTCTGTATTCAACATCCTTATCCAATCCTTCCATTTGTCCGAATGCTGAAGAGCGACTGTCGCGCCACCACACCTCAGAGGTTAGAGCTCTGGTCTCGTAAACAAGGGGTCGCGAGTTCGAATCTCGCTGGTGGCTTATTTATCTGTGTCTTATACATGCCACAGAATTTGCTCCATGCTCGTTGAATAGTTGTGGGTTTATTCTTGTTGAGAATATGTATCCCGTGTCCTTTATATTCTTGTAAACAAAAGGGTTCTTACATTTTTTAGCTTACTGAGTTCTTTCATTCGAAAAAATATTTTTTTTCAACAGTCTCGAAGAAATTGCAAAACCTGAACATATTTCTGTATTCAACATTCGTTTTCTGTGAGGTCATTTGTCCTAAAGCTGAAGAGTGACTTTCGCTGTCTCCTCCCGCCACCATAGCTCAGAGGTTAGAGCACTGGTCTCGTAAACCAGGGGTCGCGAGTTCGAATCTCGCTGGTGGCTTTCTTATCTGTGTCTTATACGTACCTCAGACTTTGCTTCATGCTCGTTCGTTGGTTGTGGGTATATTCTTGTAAAGGTTATGCGTCATGTGTACTTTATATTCTTGGAAATCACAGGGATCTATTATTTTTTGGATTACTCAGCTCTTTTATTCGAAAAAAAAATTTTTCTTTAACCAAATACCAAGTCAAATACCAAAATTTTAATAGAGAAGAGACACACTCCAATTTGAGGCAATTAATCCATTAAAATTTGAACACAAATTGTAAGCTTTCCTATACAAACCAAAAACATGAGGATTCCAAGATAGTTTATTATCAAAAATTAAACCCAAATATTTTAGGGTTTAAGTAATTTTGACTGATCTGCCATTTAATTTAAAACTTGGGTTGTTATTAAAAACAGTAGTATTATGCTTAGACAATGAACGAGAACTAATTGATCTGAAAACCAACGCCTGGCACTTGTCGATAGAGATGTCTAATTTTAGAATATTTAATTCCTGAGAAATCAAGTCTAATGCATTGTTAGTGTTAGTTTCTAAAATCTTCCTAGTTCGACCAAAAGTGACAAGGGCCAAGTCGTCAGCAAATGCCTGAAGATAATACAAGTCATTATTTAAATGTAAAATATGATCAAAATAAAAATTCCAAAGAAAGGGGGCCAGGACAGAACCTTGGAGACACCCTTTAAAAATCTTATTCTTAGCAAATAAATTACAATCATTGAAAACAACACTTCTATTAATCAAGTAATAAAAAATAAAATTTCTGTATGCAAAAGGAACATTAAATTTATCAAACAAGCCAAAGAGAACAAACCAATTCATATTATCAAAGGCGGCCTTGATGTCAATTGACACCAATGCAGCTTGTAAATTATTAGTAAGAGAACAAATCTTAGACAAAATTCTTGTAACTGCAAGTTCATAGCATCTATTTTCTCGGAACCCATATTGATTAACATGAATTATGTTATTGGAGGCAAACCAACTCTGTAATTTAATTAGGAACAATCGTTCCAAAATTTTCCCTAAACAAGGCAATAAACTAATGGGTCTATAAGACCCGACCAAGCTTGGATCTCTCCCTGCCTTTTGCAGAAAGAAGACCTTTGCGTTTTTTAAGTTTACAGGGAAATAAGAATATCTAAAACAAGTATTAAAAATATTTAACAATAAAGATTTATCCACATCATAAATAGCGTTCCACATTTTGTAGTCCAGATGATCCAAACCAGGGCCCTTTCCACTTTTTAAGCCATTAAATACAATTGTTAAATCTTCCTCGACCAACAGATACAAGGAATCATTATTAGGAACATAAAAATTTGCCTCAAAATCATCATTATTTGGAAAAAAGTTATCAAGTAAGGTTTTAACTCTTAACTCAAGTGGAGGGTTAGAAACATTGCCGACTCTAACATCCAGATTATTTACCTTTTTACATTTTTTGAATGCAAACCTAAAAATAGCTCCAAATTTTTCGCTATGCTGAATACATAAGTTCCTCCAAGCTAAAGTCCTAAAGTATAATAACCTACGTTTAAAAATAGCTCTTTCTTTTCTATAAAAAGAGCCCGCAGCCTGGACCTTTGGACCATCTACGGCAGTTTTCCTCAGAATATCATATTTTTTGTACAAAGCCGTTACTTTGTTCCTTAAAGTTCTAAGCTCAGGATTCCAGAAAGAAAACTTCCTCGGAAGCCTACCTTTAGCCTTCTTACGATATGATTTATACGCACATTCAGAAACACTATCAACAAAAAATTTGAAAAACAAATCCAAAGAAACACGGTCTTTTACATTTTCAAGTTTACTGTACAAATCTGGCAGCAACTTTTGAAAATTTTTAACAAATTTAGGTTTGTTATACGTGGTTTTAAAATGAAAATCATTGAAGTTAGGAACATCAAAATCCATTTGCACACTGACATACCTGTGGTCGCTAAAAGACTCTAAATCCATAATTTCCCATTTTTTAATAAAATTGAAAATAATGCTATTAGCAAGGGTCAGATCAGGCCAACCTCGGCCACTATGTGACACAAAGGTTGGGGGAGAATATTTGTTATTACAAATTAACAGATCATTCATAGTTGAAAAATCGATTATTGCCCTCCCACGAATATCTTCGAAATTGTAGTTCCAGATGAGTGACCTCGCATTGAAGTCCCCCAAAATTAAAGCATTTTTATTAACAGAGTTGAAATTAGTAAATTCTTCAATCAAAGAATCAATATTGTCATGAGGGGGGAAATATGCACTAATGATCTGCAATTCCAGGACACCAAGTTTGGCAAATAATCCAACAATATGGTTCGTATTATGACCCAAGACGATATCAAGATCCTTGTTTAAACAAAAAATAACAGACTTATTATTAAAAGAACAAAACATTCTGCACCCCTTACCACCGGTGAGGGGAACATTATCACTAATATAGGGGTCCTGAACACATAGGAAGTCAACAACATACTCCTCAGCAACCACAAAAGCATGACAGTGCGCAGCACTAGAATGATTAACATTGATTTGAAGCACTTTAAGATAACACATAGTCAGTGTTTATGATTACTTTGTTGATAGCCTCTATATAGAAGGGGCACTTCCTATCTTTAGACAAGTGGTCAATTTTTTCAAGCTTACCGGTCCCAGCATTGTGAGCTTTACAGTTAATGCATTCAGCTTTATTACAATTATCAGGGGCGTGATTGTCCCCACATTTAAAGCACCTGGGAGTTTCTTCATATTTAGCTTTGGAATGCCCAAGGCGACCACATTTGCTACAGTGCCTGACCGAGTGGACGGCACTCAAGACGATAGAAACCCCACTCAAAAAACAACCCCCTTCCTTTTTTGATGGCAGCATAAATTCTAAGCTCCACACTAATAATTTGTTAGCACCGTACTTAGTATTAATTGAAAAGTTAACTGAAAACACAGGGTTAGAACTATCATCATCTTTAAGTAAATCATTTTTAAACATCAGACCCTCATTTAATTGCTCTTTAGTTACATCTTTATTAATACCAAAGATGATAAATTGAGGTTTACGCTTCTTTGGTTTATTATAACTGAAATTGTTGTTGATAGTGTCTAGTTTTGAGAATTGGGCAATTAGTTTATCTATATCGTCATCGGTATCAGCCTCTAACACAACACCACCATTCGATATATTTTTAAACTTTTTAATCCTAACTGGTAAGTTTCGCAAAGTGACTACATTCTCAAGTTTTTTCCTAGTTTCATCATGAGTACTCTTACCTTTAGGTCTAATTACTAGGGCACAAGGCTTCTGAGGGTCAATAATACGGGTGCGACTTGCACTCCTTTCACGCTGGACAATATCAGCAAATGAAGGAGCAGATACTTTTGAGATTTCCTCAATTTTATTAAATAACTTAACATTTTCCTTCATACGACGGAAATAATTGCATTAACTTTATCGGCTTCTGCCAATTTACCCTCAGTGAAGACAATTTGTTTCTAAATATCTTTAACCTTAGAATTCATTGCAGTAATATCTGATTCTGCAATAGTCGATTTAAGATCAGCAATTTTAGATCCCAATTTCATAGTATCTTCTCTATCTTTAATGATAATATCCAAAAAGAAATAAAAAAGTGAGCACAATCTGATTGCATAACATAACTTAACTTTTTATTCTTATTATTTTTTTGGAAATCACAGGGTTCTTACATTTTTTTGCATATAGAGCTCTTTCATTCGAAAAAATATTTTTTTCCCACAGTTTCGAAGAAATTGCAAAACCTGAACTTATTTCTGTATTCAACATTCGTTTTCTGTCCGGTCATTTGTCCGAAATCTGAAGAGTGACATTCGCAGTCCCCTCGCGCCACCGTAGCTCAGAGGATAGATCTATGGTCACGTAAACCAGAAATCGCAAGATCGAATCTCGCTGGTGGCTTTTCTTATCTGTGCCTTATACATGACACACACTTTGCGTCCTGCTCGTTGCTTGGTTATGGGTATAATCTTGTAAAGATTATGTATCCCGTGCATTTATATTCTTGGAAATCACAGGATTCTTACATTTCTTTGCTTAATGAGTTCTTTCATTCGAAAAAAGTATTTTTTATTTAACAGTCACGAAGAAATTGCAAAAACTGAACTTATTTCTGTATTCAACGTTCATTTTCTGTCCGGTCATTTGTCCGAAATCTGAAGAGTGACTTTAGAGGTCTCCTCGCGCCACCATAGATCAGAGGTTAAAGCACTGGTCTCGTAAACCAAGGGTCGCGAGTTCGATTCTCGCTGGTGGCGTACTCATCTGTGCCTTATACGTACCTCAGACTTTGCTTCATGCTCGTTGGTTGGTTGCGGGTATAATCTTGTAAAGATTATGCGTCCCGTGTACTTCATATTTTTGGAAATCACAGGATTCCAACATTTTTTGGCTTACTAGGGTATTTCATTTGATTTTTTTTTTCAGCAGTCTCGAAAAAATTGCAAAAACTGAAATTATTTCTGTATTCAACATTCGTTTTCCGTGCTGTCCGGAAGCTCAAGAGTGACTTTCGCGGTCTCCTCGCGCCACCACAGCTCAGAGGTTAGAGCACTGGTCTCGTAAACCAGGGGTCGCGAGTTCGAATCTCGCTGGTGGCTTACTTATCTGTGTCTTACAGATGCCTCAGCCTTTGCTTCATGCTGGTTCGTTCGTTGCGGGTATAATGTTGTAAAGATTATGCATCCCTTGCCGTTCTTCTTGGAAAACACAAGTTTTTTGCATACTGAGCTCTTTCATTCGAAAAAATATTTGTTTTCAACAGTCTCGAAAAAATTGCAAAACCTGAACTTATTTC